GCCACCACCGCCCGGCTAGGATGAAGATATTTGTAAGGGCTGTCGGCTCCTTCATCTTCACTAAAGCTTACAAAAGATTTAGCCAAGTGCTAAGGAAATGGAGCCCAGTTATATATACAGAGGACCCACTAATCTTTCCTCGGCATCTTCCATTGGTAGAGCTAACCACACAATTAAGGGTTCTGGGAGGGACACAGTCTAGATCCAACAAGAAGAGGAAGAAGTGAGCAACAAGGGGCCAAGGCATGGGCTGCTGGGCACCAGTGGGCAGGAGTTGGGCAGGAATCTGGCTAGAAAGGTGCAATCACCGTCCCCCATGGTGTATCTCTTCTCCTCATAGCTTGAGTCTGTGTACTCCAGGAGCATGCGGATGGCATGGGCCAGCTGTGAGAGACCACCAGAGAGGGTGAGATTCTTTACCCCCTCCAGATGAGTCCCCACCTCCCTGTCCTAATTTTGCCATCTCCATGCATGGACACACACACACACACACACACACACACACACACACACACACACACCTGCAAGAGCATGCCTCCACAGATTGTCTTCCGGCAGACAATCCTCCTCGGCAAACCCATCTACTGCGTGTGTTCTTACCCCTCCTCCAAGTCCTACTCTGCATTCGGACCCCTCACTCACCCCGCGGATGTCCCAGTAACCCAGGGTCATGGGCATGGTGCTGTGGTCTGAAAGAATAGACTCAGTGTCAGACTAGCCTCGACTTTCTGAGAGCAGCCAGGGAGCAGGACTTGGCTTTGTCAGGTCTTCAGACCGCCCTTCCCCACCCCTAGTTTCAACCAATACCGGAGTCCAGGGGGAGGGCCAGGCCAACCTCGCAGGGGCGGCTGAGAGCCAATGCAGCCTGAGCTCAGACACAGTGGTTTGGCGGGACGCCTAAAGCAAAAAGCGGGACTGGACTCGCCTGATCCTGGTTAGTGGCTCCATGCTCTTTTTGATGTGGGGCTGTCTAGAGATGACAATTCAGAAGGCCTTTGAACCTTAACAAAAGTGTCCTGAGGGCAAAGTTATCTCTTGTATTTTGAGTACATGAAAAACGAAGAAATGGAAAACATGATAATGTATATATATTCATGCATGCAAGATAAGTCTTTCTAATGTGTGTGTGTGTGTGTGTGTGTGTGTGTGTGTGTGTGTGTGTGTGTGTGTGTCCTGGATCATGTAGTAAATGTATCTATTTTTCCCGGTTTTTTAATTTTGAGAAAATTTATAACAGAAAAAGTACATGTATCTCCTATATACCCTAGCCGCTTCCTTGTTCAGGTCCTTCCTAGCCCAAGATCTCATTTTCTTTCTCTCCAGCATCATCCTGGGGGTAAGACACTGAGGAGCTGTGATTTATAATCACTTCTGTTGTGCCGACTCCCAGCCGGGCCTGTTCATGTGGACCTGTAATTTATGACAATTGACGGAACACATTTCTCTTTACAACACTTGAAAACCTTGCCCTGAATTCCTGAGAAACAACTGTTCTTTGTCTTTTTTTTTTTTTAATGGTTTCAGAGTCTGGACTTGGAACTCTGGGTAACCCGGGCTGGCCATGAATTAGCCTCAGTTCTCCTACCTCAGCTCCCCAGGGCTGAGATTAAGGACATGCAGCACCACACCTAGCTCTCTGAGAAGGTACCACCAACTCACTCCAATGTGGATTTTTTTTTTTTAATGTTTTATGTTTGGTTTTATTTGGTTGTGTTGAAACACAGCTAAAGAAGAGGAAACTTCCTCAAATTTGTGAAATCGTTGTACTGATATTGTTTTAGATCTGATTTTTATTAATTTGCAAATCTCAGTAACACTGGGGCACAAGATTCCAGCCACAGAAAGTGCCCTTCGTGTTCTAGAGAACCCTGCGAAGGCCGCCTGCTCTGGGGGTACCCTTCTTAGTGCTCTAGAATTCCTGTGAACCAGGCACTATTCGGGTCACCAGGCAGTCCTGAGAGGCAATGGTGAGCTGGTGGGCAGGCCTGACAGCCAAAACAAGTGTGACTCCAGCTTTATGGGGACCACACAGGGCCGCGCAGGGACCCCACTGGGGAACACTGCAGATAATGGGGGGAGGTCCACCAGGCTCCTCAACACAGCACAGCCACTGCCAGACAGGACAGTCACTTCAGGAGGCCACTCTGTTGAAGGACAAGAAGGAGCTGCGGCTTTAAAAGGCAAGAATGGGACAGGAATCAGGGGACAAGACAGGGGCAGGGGAGACCTGGGGGTCAGTTAGAGAAAGGAAAGGAAGGAAGAGAAGGTGGAGCCAGGGTGGCAGGGGCGTGGCTGCTATGGAGGAAAATGAGCTTCTCACCCCCACCTCGTGTCCTGTTGAGGCCCTAATTGTTGCCCCAGGTGTTCATATTTAGTGGCCATCTTTGTGAGCACAGGTCTGGGAGAAGCAACTGGTCTTCATGCAGGCAGCCATCTGCTCCAGGCTCTGTGGGTGAGGAGAGAGCAGGAGCGGAAGCAGCAGGAGCAGGAGCGGAAGGCCGTGTCCCCAAGGGGCCTCATAGCTCCACTCTAGGAACAGCCGTTCCCTGTGGACTCTCATGCAGGCTCTCTGGAAAGCCAATTCTTCAATTTCCTGTACAGAAAGGGAGAGTGTAGAGGATGTGGAGGGGTTACACCCTAGAGATTCAAAAAACTCACTTAATAATCCTGCAGGATCTATCCCACCACGACTAGCTATCAGCAAAAGCTGAGGTCCAGAGGGGTGAGGTGGCTTCCTCCTGCTCACACAGCTAGTCCACGGGACAGGGCCTGAGTCAGCTGCCTCTAGGGCTCCCATTCTGTGCCCTCTCTGCCCAGTCCAGTGCCCTCCTGTCCTCCCGCTGGAGACCCCGTCACCCCCAGTCTTCACAGACACGCTCCTTCCTCACAGGGAACACCCTCCTGGCTGGTGTACACAGAAACTGCCTGTCACAGGACAAGAAAAAGAAAGAAATGGAGACACAAGCATGGCCGGAGTTTGTGGACTAAAAGCCTGTCTGAAAAGCATGATCTGAACCACTAGGTTCAGATAGAGATTCTGCCTCAAAGGAATAATGTGGAAAGCCCGGATGTCCTCCCATGCCCCTGTGCATGAATGCACCTCTCTCTCTCTCTCTCTCTCTCTCTCTCTCTCTCTCTCTCTCTCTCTCTTTCTCTCTCTCTCTCTCTCTCCCCCAACTGGGCTCCTACCTGTCTACTCAATGCTAGCACCACTATATCCCTTGGGTCTCAGTGCTTCTCAGTTTGGAATATAAATCAGTAAGGTATTCTGTAGAGGGAGTATAAATACTAGCTGTCTTGTGAACCTGTGCCCAGCTTGTCCCCCACAATCTGGCAGCCAGCCCCATGCACACATGCTGAGCTTGGTACAATATAGCAGAAGGCACCATTTTAGCTGATCCTGTGACCGGCCATAGCAAACGATGCCTCAACCATGGGATGAGTCTGGCCTCTGCCTCACCTGCAGAGGGGGAACTTCCTGCCTTGGTTCAGACTTGTTTTCTCTCTTCTTTTCCCATACTTGAGATATAACTTCATCTAAGGGCAGAAGTGCCAGACAGAGCGTGCAGGCAGGGAGCTGGTCTCTCGCTCCCTGAGGGCCCTTCCAGATAGCATAGCCCTGAACAGAGAAGGACTACAAGTGACCACTGTCCTATCACAAAATAACTAGGCCCTTTGTTCTTCCAGAAGCCCGTGTCCAGAAATGGCCTTGGGACTTTTCAACAAGAAATACAAAAACACGCAATCTCTCTTAGTTTAGTTAGGTGGCATCAGCTGACCTTGAACCCAAGTAACACCCACTCTCCCATCCTAGGTGTCCTCACAGGACCTTAAAAGAACAAGCCCAGAACTCCATACTTCAACCCCACCAAGCTGTACTTCCTTCCTTGGGGTGTCGATAAGGCCTGGCCTGAGGGCAATGTGACTCAACACTTCTCTCTTGAACCCCTTTCTCTTCTCAAACCCCAAAACTCAACAAGGAGGAAGCGCCCTAGGGAATGGAGGGACCACAGATAAAAGGAGACTGAGACCTGAAAAGATTCCATGAATCAGAGCTGCCCGTTCCCCTGGACTCTCCCTATAAGCGAAGATGAACTGGGGACAGGTCCTTGCAGATGTAGTCTCTGGGGACAGGTCCTTGCAGATGTAGTCTCCAGCTCCTTATGTCACACTCTGACTCTTACCTACCCAGAAATGAAACCAGTCCTGCCATATGCTCTGACAGTCATAATATTCTGCCAAGCATATGGGGCAACACACACATATACACACACAAGTACAATGTATATGTATATGTGTGTATACTCATGAACTTCAAATTACTTTTAGTATATATTCAGAAAAGGAAGTAGTATGTCATACAGTAATTTTTTTTTTAGAAACTAATTACTAACAGTCTAATTTCCACAGTAGCTGTAGCATTTTATATTCCTAGGGACAAAGCAAAAGCCTTCCAGTCACTCCACATAATCAGCAAGTCTACCATCTTGACCATGGCTCATTTGATGTGTGTGTGGGAGGCATATCTTCAACGTAGTTTCATTTTATGTTTCTCCAATGATTAGTGTTGAGCAACTTTTATGTGCTTATTGGCAATTGTACATCTCCTCTAGAAAAATGTCTATTCTCTCTAGAAAAATGTCTATTCAAATCTTGTACCCAGGTTTGAGGTATTTGGTCTTTGTTTCATTAACTTGCATGTACAGGTATATTCAATAGAACACAGCCAAACCGATTCAATATGTGGTTTGACATTCAGCAGAGGTATTAAAAACGATCCAGGGAAGGATGGGGAGATGTCTCAGTCTACAAAGTACCTGTATGCCATGCAAGTACAAGGGCATGACTTCAGTCCTTTGCACAGGTCAAGCCAAGTGCTGCTGTGATGAACTTATCATCCCCAGGCTGGAGAGATGGAGACTCTCTGGACTTACTCTGTAGACAGCTTACCCAAACCAGTGAGTGCCAGGTTCCGTGAGAGATCATGTCCCAACAGGTAAGGAAGAGGGAGCATGAGGAAGATACCTGATATCAATCTCTGACCTCCACATACAGGTGCTCATGTGCACACACACACACACACACACACACACACACACACACACACACACACACACGGCCAGGAACTATTGATCATCATGGAAAGTATTTTCTAACTTCTGTCTTCCTAACTTTTATACACTTCCATTAACTTATCTTTTTTCTGATGTTGTTGTATCTGTGTTTAAGTTAGTGTTAAATAAAGGCTGGCTTCTTAAAGGTTTTTGATGTTACCAGATTAATCAATACTTCTCTTCAATGAATAAAGGAAATAATCTCTTACCTTACAAGCTTTACCTTTTAATTAATCACTTATTTCACAGTGACCTCACATCCTGCCTGAGAGTGCTCATTTCTTAACTGCTGTAGTTGCAGCAGCTGGAACTTGGCATAAGGACAGTGCCCTGCAGGGCTGTCCTCCAACCTGTTCCTAGTTACAGGTAGATCCCTGCAGGGCTGTCCTCCAACCTGTTCCTAGTCACAGGTAGGTCGAAGGAAGTGCTTGACAAAGGCCAGAATCCAGGATCTGGCTACCACTGAGGATCCTGCTTCTTCAGTGAATCCAGCTTCTTTGTGGGCGACCCCGGCAGCACCTCTGGTCACACACTGCTGCTCTGGGGCCCAGGAAAGTAGACCCGCCCACCTCCAGTTGCTCAAGGCCAATTGCAGTCTCTTAAGTGCTTAGGTGTGAGAGGGCCTCTGGGTCAGACTACAACACCTCCACATGGAAAATCTTCCGTACCTCATTCTATGCCTTCT